AAGCCTAGATGAATATAACAAAGACCATCATCTCACATACAACTCCTAATAGTGGACCAACATTATGGCCGTAGACTCACCGCCACTGGAAGGTAACTCACCTCGTAAGGCTGACTGCTGGAAAATTGCTCGATAATTGTCTGACTGCTACTCCGGTAACCCTCCGGCTATAATCCCACAAAACACTCAGTTAGAACCTGATACCTACTTTTAGGGTAAAATGATTATTTTACCCCTAACCAAGTCCAAGTCAAAGTCAACTTCCAGTTGACCCAACTCGCCGAGTTGGGCCGCCAACTCGTCGAGTCCTAACTCATTACCCGTCCTTATCCACGTCTATACTCGTCGAGTTTAGCAACGACTCGACGAGTTCTCCTTTTATATGAACATCAAATAAACCTTCATCCGACTCATCGAGTTGTATGAACAACTCGTCGAGTTACCTTCATATGATATCAAGTCCTTTCCTTGACTCGCTGAGTCGCCGAGTTGTATGAACAACTCGTCGAGTTCATCTTCAACTTTAAGGAGATTGCGTTGGACTCGCTGAGTCCGTTCTTGCACTCGTCGAGTCCAATGAACTCCAGATCTAAGGCTAAGTCCAATACGTTGGGTCACTCCCTTGGACCCTCTAAAAACCCTTCTAGTGCTCAACTGGGTTCCTTCAAACCTTAACAGATAAGGGGAGTTTTGCCTCGGACTCGCCGAGTCCCAAGAATGACTCGTCGATTCGGGCATGTGCAAGTCTCATATCTCGATTTCCAGCGTACAACTCTTGACCAAAAGGTAGATCTAAGCTCCTTCACTCGTTCTAGCATGTAAAGTTACAAACTTTACGTGCATGCATGGGACTTTGAGCACAAAAGGACATAAAATAAGCTCTTATGATGCATGGGACCTTAGATGGGTGCCAAAGCAACCCATAACTGCCTTGTGACTCCCTTAATGAGTTGATTCTGAAGCCTCAACCCCCAACCATGCTTGCAATCATGGTTGGTCACCAAAAATGGCTTATAAAAGCCCTAAATCTCCCCAAAAAGGGATCTACCAAATGAAAGAGCAAGGTTACAGCTTTATACCTCCAATAAATTGTGGAAGATGCAAAAAAATTGGGTTCCCCTGGTCTTCACTTGTTTCCTCAAGTCTTTCCCTTCCTCTTTATGGTCACAACTAGCAAGATCCACCAAAAATGACTTAGTTCTTCTCAAAAACGGCTAGGGTTTGCTATGGGGAGCTCTAGAACCATTGGGGACGAAAGGGAGGTTGAATAAGTGGTTTAAATAGGGTGCAAACCCTCATCTAGGGTTTTCCGGACAGCGCTTACTCGCCAAGTCCGGACGCGGACTCGTTGAGTAAGTCATTAAACTTATGTGTCCAATACACTCCGACTCGACGAGTTGGACCTCAACTCGCCGAGTCCAATGCCAAAATGCAAGATATTAGAATAAAATATATACTAGGAGCCACATGCTACAACAATGATGACGGTGACAGATTCAGATCAAGATCTATTGGTGTTGATTCCAATTGGCAGGTAGAGGGAGAAGGTGACAAGGAAGATGAAGATCTGGTAGGTGAGATGTTGTAACAATTGGTAAAAATTGGTCAGAGATCGGCAGTCAAACCATCACGAACCGTTATGTATTATTGACCATTTGTGTGTAATTTTTTTTTCGTTTAATATGTATATTAAATATATTATATTCATAATTTCTTTTATAACATCTCAAAACATCTATCACTGAAGACCGAATCGAAAATCGCCAAAAATTAAATTTATTGGTAATGTTAAAAATAAAATTTTGTATTAAGTATATTTGAGAGTTATAGATAAGATATTTGAATAAATAATGTTCCCCTAATTTCGTAGATATGAAGAACGTCCAAAACGGATGTCGTATGAGAAAGTTACGACTCTTTAATGTTATATAAATTAGTATTTATCTGGTTTTTTAAACGAACCGTGCACTATTTCGTTTGGAATAGCTACGAGTCTCGTAGACTGTTTCTGAACATGTTTTTGAATTCATATTATGGTATATTATTTTATTATATTATATAATATTTTTAATCTCGGCCAAAGTCAGATTCATAAAAATCTATCGAATCCGAAGCAATTAATCGCGAAACTTTAAACATTGATTTCCGAAGTTTGGTATATCAGAATTGAAATTTGCATGCATTCCTAGAATCACAACGACCAAGACAAAAAGCAGGCATTTTCAGAAAAAAAAAATCACGAGACTATACGATGGCCCAAGAATCGAGAAATGTGATTTACGATTTATTCACTACAACTTGAAGTTATACTACACATGCTTTATTCCCAAAAATATCTACTAAGAAGTCAGCATTGACTTTCAATAATGCAGTTAACTTCAATAAGAAGTTACACTTCCCTTGCATCACCAATTGCAATCACTCAAACCTTCCTTTTCCTTTTCTTCTTTCTTCTCAGATCGACTTTCGACACCTCCCACAGGTGATACCATTTTTCCAGCCAAAGAGGTGGCATCAACCCCTCCTTCGTCTGCTAAACTATCCTACGAAGAATGCCTCCTATTCCTTTTGTATTTTTACAACACCACAACAACCGAAACCACCTCCATCGGAGGTATTCTTCTTGAGGTTTTCATGCGATACCAAGAGAGGCAGCAACCCTCTTCGTTCATTGCTTCCTGACGAACATCAAAAAACCCAATCACCCTAAAACATTTTCTGCCCTCGTCTTCTTCTCCGATCAAAAGAGAACCCGAAAAACCCACCTTTTCCCCCTTTAAGTTTTGTTGTTGAACCAGAAAAAGGAATCAATGAGGAACCGTCGGAGAAGCCCCTCTTACCATCACTATCGGAGACAACAGCCACTAGCTGCCATCCTCGCTCCCTTCTCCGGCGATAACAAGTCCAAAACACCCCTGAATGTCTATTGTTGCTGCTTCTAGTAAATCGACTTCTTCATTCTATGACCGATCGAGCACCGGTGATGCTTTTTCGATTCATCACTGCCCAACATCCCCACCTCTTCTCTTGCTTCCGTTCTTCTTCCTTCTCCAGTTGGACCGAGCGATAGGGACACCCTTCTTTGAAACGACGGTTGTTGTTGCTCTCTTCGGTTGGATTTTTGCCGCCAACGGTGAACAATGGACCACCATTCTGACAGCCTTCGTGTTTCTCCTTTCTTGATCAGACGATGGTCGAAGACCTCTTGTCGACTGTTTTCTATCAGTGATCCTTTCATCTTCTCTGGGGATTCAAGAATGATAACGTGTTTTAATTTTTACTAAAGGGGTGTTTGGATAAATTAGTTTTTATCTTATTAGCTTATTAGCTTATTGCTTATTTGCTTATTGTGATGGAAATAAACAGTTTTTTAAAAAGTGTTTGGATTATCTTATTACAGTGGGAATAAGCAATAACCAATAAGCATTTTAAGTGTTTGGCAAACAAAACAGCTTATATGAGTAAAATAACCGAAAACGGTTTCCTCTTATATGTTAACATATTTTTCTTATTAAAACAAAACATTTTTGTTTTTTAAATAATAATAATAATTTTCTTATTCATAAGAACTAATAAAAACATTTACCACATTATTTTTACACCTATTTTTAAATTGATGGGATACATCTATCGAAATATTCAAGAAACATTAGACCATAATGTTCTTATCCATAAGAATTAAAAAAACATTTATCATGTAAAACCATACGAGACCACAAATTTCATTCCAAATCCATATTATCCAAAATATCCAAAATAGTTTCATGCAACTACATTAAACCATAAAATGGAAATACTAAAGAGTTTCAAAACAAATCATAGGTCGTTACATGCACGAGTGTTTGACCTTGATAATATATGTCCCGCAATCATATCGCGTACTGCACTCATATACATATTGTCACTTCTACATTGTCTACTTGATACTTCATCATGTGGCTCAATACCATCATCGGGTCCTTCATCATTGCACGGAATATAAGATTCTTCTTACGCTATTTGAAATGTTGCATCACCACTACCGCTCATTCTAATGTCATTATGAATTGTCATTGAAGCTAGCATAATTTTAGCTTGGGTCCCGAAGTTGAAATTTACATGCATATCTCTTAGTAACACCCATCGAGCCTTCGAGACTCCAAAAGTTCATTCAATTACATTGCGAAATGACAAATGATAACAGTTAAATTTTTCTTTGAAGCCTTTTGGTTCCCGCGAGACACGAGTCCGTCCACATCGAAAATCAAGAATATGATAACGGATGTTTGAACCTTTGTAGGGAACAAGATAACCTTTTGTATTAGGATATCCGGCGTCTACAAGGTAAAACTTACCTACAGAGGTACAAATAAAGCATATGATTCTTATTCATTTATAACGTTCGAAAATATAAAACTTCTATTAATAAGTAACTAGTTGTGAGACTCGTATACTATACGAGTTGATTAAAACAAAATGTTAATATAAACGATTAAATGGAATATTTATTTGAAATTGAAATTTGAAATAACTGAAAATTATGAGAAAAAAACATGCAAAAAATAAATAAATTAAAGTTATGTGTTTAGTTATCATATTTGTATACTAAACGGATAAATAATAATAAAATGCTAAACACAAAAGTTTAAACTGTAAATTTATTTGAAATTAAAATTAAAATTTAGAATTTGAAATTAATAGTCATTATGGTAGGTTTAATTTATGGGAACTAAATTAATGATATATTGGAAATATAAAATGAAGTAAATGACAAGTGGAAAATAAATATATCTCAAAATTATGAAAAAAATGGCATGTGGTCAATTGAATGAGAGAAGAACATATGACAAAATCATTCTTATTTATTAGGGTAGATGATACTAACCATCAGCTGGAAGTGGAAACTTAACTTCACGTCTCCTTCTCGCTTCATTAAAAATTCTCGTGTCATGTGTAGTGTCCTCCCATCCAGCTCACGCAAAGGTAAAGCACATTTTGAAATCACATGCTACCATGATATTTTAAGTAACACAATTCTTTCGTCCAATGTATTTGATTTGGTCACATTGCGGAACAGAGGCCTCCACGTGTGTTCCATCGATGGCACCAATACAATCCTATAAATTCAAAAAATATAATAAGTTACCAATTATTTTTACAATTACGCAAATTCACCAAATAACATAACTTTGAAACAAATAAGTACCTTGAATAATGGATAATACCGAGGGTTATTTAAAATATGTTCTAGTATAGTTTTGTTGTAGTTAGCATCTGGTTTGATGATGTCCTTACTTAGGTTAACCACAACATCCAAGACTTTATGAAAAATTATATGGATTGTTTCCCCAGAATGATTAAAGGACTCTTGAACCAACCGATTTCCACATCCATGCGCTAAGTACAACAAGAAAATACTAAGGGACTCTTCAATAGATACTCGACATGATTTCATTAACCCATAACGTGCAACAAGATCTCTACATAACATGTTGAAAACCGGGACTTGTAATCTGAAAAGTTCATAACATCTAAGTATTTCATTGATAAGCATGCTTCCTGTGCGCAAAGATGAATGACGACGTCTACATACATATTTTTATGAGTCAATAGTAACCCTTTGACAGCAATCCCACATAAAAGAAGTGCTTGAATCTCTTCATTTTCATCACTATCATATGAATTGTCACTTTCACAGTCATTGGCAATGAATATAACCTGTTACTAAATGAAAAGGAAACAAGGGTAAGATTTAAATTTACCACATACTATATAAAATCATGGAAACATCATGGAAAAGAAAACAAGAGCAAAATCATGGGTCAAAGGCAAAATTAACCACAAAACAAACATGTAACGTAATTGCATAAAACAAACACAAAACAACCATTTACATTTAACATAATGGATGAAAGGAAAGGTCTAACACGTAACACATGACAACCGTTTAAAGTCTACCTAATAGATAAAATCATGGAAAAGGAAACAAAAACAAAATCATGGGACAAGGGCAAAATTGACCACAAAAGTAGAGTATGTCCAACACATGACATAAAAGGATAGGTCTAATACATGACATAAAAGTAGATTATCTCTTCAACTACTTCTCTTTCTCTATAAGCCTCTTGAGAAACTCCATCTTTGTTTATTAGTCTTTGGAACCATAAAATTCTAACGAGTTGGCTTTTTTAAAAAGGCATCTAATGATTCTAAATATCCTATGGAGCCTTCTTCAAAACCCGAGAAAGTAGAGACAATTGCCATGCAATCTTCTGTTGTGGGTGACTGTGTGGTTTGTCTTAAGGGTTGAGTGCTCCTTGTTAACAAAACATCAAAAATAGTGTCAAGTTTCTTTTCATATGACGAGTTTTCCATACTTTTTCCTTCATTTTCCCTTCAAATTTTCTTTTGTTGTCATGCATGGGAGTTAACTTCTTTCCCCTCCATTTCATACTAGAACTATCATATGTGAGAACAGGATCAACATCTTCAAATAAGTGGACTTCGTCAGTATCCACTCTTCCATCTGTAATATCCACAAACTGTACATCATCCGGAGTGCTATTGTTGCAAAATTCGCAAGGTACCTTAGCCTTGTCTCCAACAACTACGGTATCCCGAAATAAAGCCTCGTAATATGCCTGATATACATCCAAATTCTTATCCTTAAACTTAGCATACTCTTTATCTTCCTATATGTACAAAATGAGAATGTCACGAAAAACACAATACAAATAATATATTGTTAGATAAATTTTTTAATTATTACCTTTATTTTCTCATCCCACCATTCCTTTGATGCTGAGATTATATTTCTCATGGGATTAGTTGAAATTCCCGTTTCTAGTCTTGTTAAATGGTCATAATATTTGAGCTCTTTCCGCATAATGTCCCATTTGTTTTTCATTTGATTTCTATCCAAATCTATACATGTTCGTTCCAAAAGCCTCTTACATGTATTTTGGCACGCAGGCTGTTTGAAATAAGCACCCTGTCTATTCCCGTTTTTTAGCTTGGTCATACATTCCTCAATAAATATCTTGAATGTATGAGGATCCCAATGAAACCTATTTGTAACTTTCATTGTGGGTGTATCAATACCCACATCATGAACATTGACAGTGTCCATTACCTATATTACATCATGATAAGGAATGAATTAAACTCTTAAATTTCAACCTAATGTTGAATCAAAAGAAGCAGGGGAATTTATGAATACAAACAAGAAACAATACCATCAATAGGAGCAAATAACCACAAGAATAATGAAGAAAAAATAGAAACATCACAGGGGAAGTTTATGATCAAGCATCACAGGGGCAATTTACCATCACAGTGGCAGTTTTTTAGCAGGTAGGAGCCAAAAGAAAAAAAAAAAGAAACAACATCACAGGTAGAAGCATCAATAGCAACAAATAACAAGAACAATCAAGAATGAAGAAAAAAAGAATAATCCATGGCTTCATCGTTTGTTTATGCATGTCCGAACAAAAAAACGCAAATAGGTTGCGTTACCAAACGAGAAAAAAAGGAAAAAGCAACAAAGCAGCAAACCTACCTGATCGTCGATGGTCGATGGCTAGTTTGAAGATCGTCGATGGCTAGTGGAGAATAGGGAATAGCGATCGACAGCAGATGTGTGTATCGTTTTTTTGAAGGGTAATTAGGTAATTTCTGAAATCATTAAAAATAAGCAATAAACAATAAGAATTCCCCCTTGCTTATTAGAATCAACTTATCTAGCTTATTCATACCATAATAAGCTGGTTTTTTAAGCATCATATCCAAACACTTCAACTCAGCTTATTGTGGTGAGAATAAGCAATAAGCAATAAGCAGCCACTTTTTCCCTATCCAAACACCCCTAAGTTAAAAGTCAAAAAATCTCAAACTTTCATTTAAATTAATCAAAACTTACCCTCACTTGGCAATATATTCCAAGATCGGTCCAATCCTCAAATATTGACTCCTTTTATTCAAAACAACCCCTCATTTGTATTAATTAATCCAAATAAGCCCTTGTTTGAGTTATTTAATCAAATCAACCCTTCCTTATTGTTTTTAGATCAAAACAACCCTCCATTCATATTTCAAGATTTAAATCAATCATTTCGATTTAAATCATTTCAAAAATAATCCCATTAGTTTTATTCAATATAAAATAGTCTGGGAACGTTTCAAAGTTCGAGAATTGTCAAATTTTCACAAAAATGGACCAACTGCAGACAAATCGAGCTCACGCTTCAAGGGTAAGTTTCTACGGCCCCTCTTTTACTATTTTAATATTTTTGGGAGAATACATGTGTGTCTATTTAATTTTTGATGATTTCAAGTTATATATGTTAAAATGCATCATATAGGTTATTGGTCAAATGTTTATGAAATAGCAATCTAAAATGTTATAAATCATAAATCAATCATACAAGTTAAAGTAGATTGCTAAAATAAAATATACGTATATATTGTTATGAAATATTAATTAATATTAATAAACGTCACAATATTTTAAGTAGATTGTTATAAAAATATAAGTATATTTGTGAATCTTAAATTGAAATCCTTGTTGTATATATACATGAATATGTTTGAGAACGCATGAAAATACATTATACGTATAAACAAATATGATATTCAACATAATTATGTACAAAACAAATATACATTACCTTAAACGGTTAATAAGCGACATTTGAACAAATACATAATAATTAATTAAAAATATACCAAAAATCATTTATTATTATTTTACTATAGATCATCACGTAAAAATGATTTAAAATAAAAGGTATATTTTATTTTTATGTTTGTTATAAAAATATAAATCATTTTTACTGTAATACGAAATCTGTCATGTATAACAACATAATTGATTCTCAGATTCTCAGAATCATTACCAAATAAAATATACATCACATCAATTATCCAATTTATTGAATGTAATGAAAATTGTTGGTTTCACATTGGTTGAAACCAGCAAAATATTATGAAAACAACCGTTATGTCGTCCAAATTTCAACACGACATATAATAAAATTTGGAAATGTGTTAAGTCTTACGAATATAAAATACCATAATAATTCAATCAATAATTATTCGTAAACATCAAATAGTTAATGGTGTTCCATATACTTATAATGGAGAGTTTAGGATCAGGATGCCTGGACTCGTTGTTAGGATCCAACACTCTCGGGTCTCTCTGTAGAAGCTACGCTCATTTCTAAATCTATATGAGTTAAGATCATTTCCTAAGCTATATGGGCTACCTTGTAACAACACTAAGACCATACATCTTAGCATAAATTCCTTTGTGTCATAACGTTAATCAGTATGGAACGAGGAACACCAGGTATAAGTTCGGTATTCTAGACTTATATGGGTTGACATCCTGCCATCGGTTGCTAGTTAACTCTGTGACATCCCCAATTTCATGGCTAGAAAAGACCGATTTGTTTATGCTTTGTTTTAAAATCAGAGTAATCTTTTAAAGAAAACAGTTGCGAAATTTGTTCCCAAAACAAAATATGATAAGAATTTATCAAAAGCATTTCTTTAAAGACGTGTATTTTCAATAAATAACAAAATATCGGGATGTCATGTTCTGATACAGACCAAAAGCATAAACAATATAAAATAGACCTTACAACAGTTATTTATAACTACTGATCTATAATCCAAAATCTCTTGTCAAGTCCACCAACTTATACCCTTGTGCCATTACCTGTAATGCAAAGAAAACTGAGTGGGTCAGGTTTGGGAGCCTGGTGAACATATAGGGTTTTCAACCCACAATAATATATTTATTATATTCAATCGTCAAATAATCAATCCAATTACACATCCTCATTATCTTCTTTATTTCTTAAGGTTTTACCCTAAGAATCGACTATCCTTCCTTCATTCATTCCTAAGGATTTACCTAAGGAACTGGCATGAAGTCCATTGCTGCCAAAGTTTATCTATCAGGTACTAAATCCATAGCTATCAGGCGCTAACTCCATAGTCACCAAGGTTTATGTAACAAGCGCTAACTCCATAGTCACCAAGGATTATGTAACAAGTGCTAATTCCATAGTCACCAAGGTTTATGTCATTTATTGATAGTATTGGTTCTGAGACATCCTATAGAAATACATACCAATGGGTTTTTAAAGTACACCGGTGAACATCAAGTCCACAACACCTACAAGTTGCGAGCATGCTAGTGTTCTACAGGACTGTCTAGATTAGTCCGTTGTTGTCATCCCTACTCTGCTGAATGACATGGGCCATCGTTTGGGTAAAGGTTTCACTCATTTCTCACCTGTCACCCTCATCTCATTATTTATATCATCTTTTGTCTCATCCTCAAACTAATCTTTCCTCACACACCAACTATTTCATCCACCCATGTTATACCCAACATATTTGTAGATATAAATTACATATATAGTTTAAATCATTTAAAAATCTGTATAAAACATTCATTCAACAACCATCTCAAGTAAACAAACAACGTATAAACACATAACACATATTTCATAGCAAATACTTCATATCTATGCGGTAGAAGAAAGTAACTACACACTCACACATATAAACAACAATATACATACACATAACACGTATTTTATAAAATACTTCATATCTATGTGTAAGATGAAAGTGACTATACACGCACTTGATTAGACGATGCTCGGATAACACTACGACTTGTAAAATTAGTATTCTTCGGTAGATCTGGAAGATCTTCACAAAAACCGGCTTCTCACAGGCAGAGTGTAACAACCCAAAATTGTTCGTCGCCAAAACCCGTTCTACCCGGAAAGTCGCCGTTATCAGATTCGTTCCGTTTTCTCTTTGGAGTTAATTATATAAACTTATATGTAACACCGAAAATTTTCAAAACAAATTTTTCAATTTTTATAAAACATAATTCCATTGATATTCATTAAACAACCATTTTAATTATCCAAACAAGACAATACAAAATCCCAAGATCATGATATCAAGCTCCGAATGTGTGTGTGTACGGATCAAGCCGGCGCCTTCCCGCGGTCGTCACTAGTACCTGAAACAATAACATCAACACTGTAAGCACAAGGCTTAGTGAGTTCCCCAAAATACTACATATAACACATATTAGCCACTCGAGGCTATAACTCTGTGGGTCCGTGCACCCAAACTCTGTGAACCCTCAGGTTCTAACTCTGTGAACCTTCCGGTTCTAACTCTGTAAACATGCACAGCATCAAACACATAGAAGTAATGCAGTACAACACATAACATACATAGCATACAAATACTCTATCACATAACTCTGGTTACCTACTCAAGGTAAAGTATAGTGAGAAGACTCACCTCGCGTGTCTCGGTAAATCGTAAACCTGAAATCGCTAATCACTCGACCTGTCGAGCTGTCGTCCCCCTATAGCACAATACACCTCTAATTAACACTTTCCCCACTAGGGTTGACCACACTATAACAAGTCAATCTAGGTCAACGCTGGTCAACGGTCAACGGTCAACTTTGACCGGACTCGGCGAGTACCCAGGCGACTCGGCGAGTCTGGGCATGTACACCAATTTCCCTGGAATCCTCCCTTGACACGTCGAGCATTCCCTCAACTCGACGAGTTCCACCTGGCACGAGTTGTGGGGCCACCACAACTCAACTCGCCGAGTCTCAAGAACAACTCGGCGAGTCCAGCTAGACTCAGTCCACCTGTCCATTCTGACTCCCCCTTGACTCACTGAGTCCACCTTTCCCAACTCGGCGAGGCCACTCACAGAGTGGTCGGGCAACATTCATGCTACTCGCCGAGTCTGTTCTTCGGACTCGGCGAGTCCATGCCATGCACTGACTCAATCTTGCTCTAAAGGTCAGATCCAGTTCATTAATCCATAGATCCAGTCCCTCCAAGCTCATTTAGCACGTAAAGTTACAATCTTGATGCACATACAACCTTTATATGACCATATATGATGTTTATGACTCAAATACTACAACACAAGGCCAAAGACTCTATTGTCACTCATAAAGCTTGATGAGTGAGGCTCTCTGGACCTCTATGGATCCAGATCCATGGCCTCAACTCAAAGAGGGAACCAATGGGCATCAAATCATCCCATAAATGACCACCACAAGCCCTAAATTGCATCATGCTTCACTAAACAGAAAATGGTCCGAGATAATACCTCTAGAGTGATGATCTAAGCTCCAAATCCACGAAATAGCAACCTCCTTTGCTTCCTCTTGCCTAGGGTCTCCTTCTTCTTGCTAGATAACACACACAAGATCAAGAATGGCTCCTTTCTCTTCACAAATAGCTCAAGAACACAAGGGTCACTCACTGAGGGTTGGGTGAGCACAAATGACGGCCATAAGGCCCTTTAAATAGGCCTCAAACCCGGAGATT